CGGAAGGAGGTTAAGGCTCTGGGAGGAGGTTAAGGCTCTGGGAAGATGTGTGGTTAGGAGAGGAATCAATTTCTGATCGATTTCCAAGTCTTTATAGGAACTCGTCCCTTCATAACTCAGCTATCCCCTCATTTTACACTCTTGGAGAGGGTAGTACGGTGTTCTAGAACTTCCATTTTAGGAGGGAGCCTAGTGATTGGAAATTGGGTGGAATCATGGAGCTTTTGGGTTGTCTAGAGAGTGAAAGATTGAACGAGTTTATTTGTGATAGGTGGGTGTGGATTCTGGAGGGGTCGGGGTCATTTTCTTGTAAATCTCTCATTGATGATCAATCCTTTCTTTCCTTTAGCCTGTCCTTTTATTTGGAGCGTCTCGGCACCTGCTAAAGTACAAATTTTTAATTGGTTGCTTGTGTCAAATAAACTTAACACTTGTGATTTGTTACAAAGGAGAAAGCCATACTTGCACCTATCTCCTAGCTGGTGCGTTTTCTGCAAAAATGCTAATGAAACGGGGGATCACCTTTTTCTTTAGTGTCCGTTTTCGATGGGTATATGGCAGCATGTTCTAGAAAAGTTCAGGATTGTTTGGGTAGTCCCTAACAATATCTCAGAGTTATTTGACTGTGACGTTCTATATGAAAGTACAAAGAATATTAGGAGATCGTGAAATGTTGTTGCCCTTACACATGGGCTTTGTGGTTACAACGGAAAAATCGTGTCTTTGACGACGTCCAAGGAAACTCCTCTGATGTTAGCGATAGAATTAATTACTGGGTTGCACTGTGGTTGTCTCAGTCGAAAACTTTTTGTGAAAGAGAATACTATGGATTGGTTTGGTATTGCTTTTTGTTCCAAAAATCAACTTTTGCTTGTAACAAAAGCTAATTTTAGTGTTTGGTAAATCTCCTTAAAAGTGCTTTTTGAAGAATTTTGGAAGAATCTACTGCCAAAATCAGAAGCAACCCAAAGACAACTTTAACTTTTAGATTGTGCGGGAATCAACATAGTACAATTAATGAAACTTTCATAATACCCATAATACTCCTAATGAAATTTAAAATTTACATTCTCAATTTAAAATTCAGACTCGTAATATAATATAATATAATATAATGTAATAGTAATGTAACTCCGTCTATGCGTTTGTATAGCCGGTCCCAAGTCCGGGTAAAGGAGGAGGGTTGCGGTAGGTTGACGGCCAGCGTAAAAATAAGTCACTCTCATGGATTTCACTCACATAGAATTTGTTAGGGCGTTCCCTATATGCGACGCGTTATGCTGGGCCTCGAGTATAGTCTTAAATGGGCAAGGGGGGTCTTCGCACATTCATGGACGTGTGCGGGAAGAAAAGTGAGCCCATGCGCCATGTCAGGCCCTAGATATGGTGAAAAATATGCAAGGGGGATCCTTGCACATTCATGGACGTGTGCAAGGGGCAGAGCTAGCCTATGATAGAAAAATTCGTTTAGGTAGTTGGAATGTAGGTTCTTTAACTGGTAGATCTATGGAGTTAGTAGATGTTATGGTAAGAAGAAGAATTAACATTTCATGCTTACAGGAAACAAAATGGATAGGAGAGAAAGCAAATGAGATTGAAAATTTAGGACACAAGTTATGGTATACAGGTTAGGAAATGAATCGCAATGGAGTTGGTATTCTAGTGGACAAAACTGTGAAAGATGACGTTGTTGAGATTAAGCGAATAGGAGATAGAAATATTATGCTCAAATTGGTACTAGAAAATAAGTTCATCTATCTAATTAGTGCGTACGCTCCACAAATAGGATTGGATGCGGAAACTAAAGTCAAGTTCTGGAAAGACATGGATGACTTAGTCTGTCGTATAGGCAATGAGGATAGCATTTTCATTGGAGGCGATTTCAATGGGCATGTTGGTAAGGATAGGGAAAACTTCCAAAGGATCCACGGTGGTTTTGGTTTTGGAGCTCCAAATGAAGAAAGAAAATCTATTTTGAATTTGCGTTGGGACATAATTTTATCATAACAAACACATTTTTCAAGAAAAGAAATTCTCACTTGATCACTTTTAAGAATGGGAGAAACTTGAGCCAGATAGATTATTTTCTCACAAGGTATAGAGAACGTTCTCTATGTAAGAATTGTAAAGTAATTCTTAGAGAAGTACTAGCCACCCAACATAGATTAGTGATCTTAGATGTGAGCATTAAGCTTTGCTATAAAAGGACTAAGATAAACTACCTCCCACGAACTCGTTGGTGGCATTTGAAGGGAATAAAGCAATTGGCCTTTAAAGAGAAGTTAGATGAGGCTACTTGGTCATATATAGGTGATGTAAATACTATGTGGGATGCCATGACCAACTGCATTAGAAAAGTGGCAAAAGAGGTACTAGGAGAATCTAGAGGTAAAGGCCTCCCTGGGAAAGAAACCTAATGGTTGAGTGAGGAAGTCCAAAAGGCTATTACGACCAAGAGGGGTTTATATAGAGATTTACCAAAGCGTAAGGTAAGCGAGCAATTGGTAAGGCTCGTTTTACTTACTTAGATTATGTATATAGGAAACTTGGGACTAGAGAATGAGAGAAGGATATATATAAGCTAGTTAGGATAAGAGAAAGGAAGTGTCGGAATCTAAATCAAGTGAGGTGTGTTAAGGATGATACAGATCAGGTTTAACAAAAGATAAAGACATTAAGGAAATGTAGAGTTACTTTGAGAAGCTTTATAATGATGATCATACGATAGAGTTTGATAATTTTAGGTCACAAGGAGAACCTAATGTGATGTACAAAAGAGAAATTAGAGTCTCGAAAGTTAAAACTGCACTACGAAAGATGAAAAAGTGGAAGGCATGTGGGTCAGATGATATTCCAATAGAGGTTTGAATGGCATTAGGAGATGTTAGAATTGTGTGGCTCACTAAGCTTTTTAATGAGATACTAAAGAAGAAGCATATGCCTGATGCTTGGAGGAAAAGTATTGTTGTCCCATCTTCAAGAATAAAGGAGATGTGCTGGATTGTAACAATTATAGGAGCATAAAGTTAATAAGACACACTATTAAACTTTAAGAGAGAGTTATCAAAAGGAGATTAAGGACCACAACTACAGTCTCAGGTAACCAATTTGACTTCATGACAGACAGATCAACCACGGAAGTCATTTTTCTTCTTAGGATGCTGATGGAAAAGTACAGAGAAGTCAAGACGGACTTACATATGGTCTTTATAGATTTAGAAAAGGCATATGATAAGGTGTTGAGGGAAGTTTTATGGTGGGTGCTAGAAAAGAGAGGAGTGCATTTTAGGTATATCAAGGTAATTAATGACATGTACGATGGGGTGGTCACGAGTGTGAGAATTGCTGGAGGCTACACGACAGAGGTCCCCATTCGGATCGGCCTTCACCAAGGATCTGCTCTTAGTCCTTATCCGATCAGGCAGGTAAGAGTCGACATAACTATAGGCTTAAGCCCGCTTAAATGCAATTTCTCCTTAGGCCGCTAGTTGAGAGGGGTCCCTAATTGATGATAAGCTGACAAGAGAAATCCAAGATAGAGTTCCTTGGTGTATGCTTTTTGCGGACGATATAGTTTTAGTTGATGAATATAGGGAATGAGTTAACCGTAAGTTAGAACTGTGGAGACAAACTCTCGAGACGAAGGGATTTAAGTTAAGTAGGACGAAAACTTAATACATGCATTGTAGATTTAGTAACTCAAGTAATCAGAGTGATGAAGTTTCTTTAGATGGTGTGGAAATTGGGACTTCTAGGAAGTTTAGGTACCTTGGGTCTATAGTGCAGTACGAAGGAGATATAGAAGAGGATATTCAACATAGGATTAAGACAAGGTGGGTTAAGTGAGAATGCTATGGAAGTTTTATGTGATAGCAAGTTGCCTATTAAGTTGAAGGAAAGTTCTATAGGACTGTAATATGCCCACCTATGTTATATGGTAGTGAATGTTCGGCCATTAAGAGACAACATATATCTAAGATGAGTGTGGTAGAAATAGGTATGTTAAGATCGATGAGTGGCCATACGAGAATGGATCGCATAAAAAATGAAGTTATTCGTAGTAAAGTAAGTGTAGAACCAATAGAAGATAAGGTGCGAGAAGGTCGCTTGAGGTGGTATGGGCATGTCTAACGTAGACCACTAGAAGCACCAGTTGTTGCTTAGGAGGACATTCTTATACCTAATACTATGAGAGAGAGAGGTAGACCAAGAATTACGTAGACTAAAATAGTTATAAAAGACATTATAGATCTAGGCCTTCAAGAAAATTTAATTTCAAACAAACTGTGCGAAAAAGTGAAATCCATATAGCCGACTCCAATTAAATTGGGATTAAGGCTTGTTGTTGTTGTATAATGTAATAGTAATATTGTAACAAATAATATCATAATTATATTAATAATTCTAATATTATTATTTTATCATATAATATGATATTATAATAATATTATAATTATTTTAATAATATGATATTATAATGATATTATTTTAATAATATGATATTATAATTATATTATTTTAATAATA